CCATTGAGACCAAATCAACACTATCTTTGTCATTTCCTACATTTATTTGTATTTTACAGTTATTGTAGGGGTGAAGGTTCTATGCTTCAGGTGCTCTTTCCTGTCATTCCAAGGTGCTGAGCTGGTGGACTATGTCAGTGCTTCCTTCTCAGTCGCCCCCCTTTTTGCCCACACTCTTCTGGGCCTCTCTTGGCGGCCGCTCTGTCCTTCAACTCAGTGCCGCTGTTTGGCTGGTGCTCGGCACCGCATCAGTCCCTCTCTCTATTGTATTACGTAGCATGAAGTGTGCACTTTCATCTCTCCTGACAGTTGCACGTGTGGGCCAAGTCAGTCCCTCGCTCTGTTGAGCTTTGCTGTGCGTCGCTGTGTTCCCTAAATCGTGGCAACAACGTGTTGCATGACTGGCAGCTCACAAAGGTGCCGTGTGTCGGTCTGCGTTGTTTGGACCACATCTGGAGGCAGCAGTGTAAAGTTGTCTTCTGTGATTCAGTGTGGGACTGTGCACTTTTACTTCCAACCGTGGTGTCAGTGGTGGTCTGCAGTGGCTTGAGCACAGCACCTCTGCTGTTTTTGATCTGTTCTCATCTCCCTATTTTGCACATTTGCAATTTGTCTATGTTTGGTGTTTCCTCCACTGTCTTGTTTTACTGTTTTTATTAATTGGAGCTATTTTTAAGGAACTTCAACTTGTGTTTCTTTTAAAATAGAAAAAATAAATATTGTGTAAATGATTCAATCTGGCTCTCTCCCTCTCATTGATATGTTTACCTGGCTGTGTGCCTTATATTTAGACTCTGTTTCCCCAAACTAGATTTGGAGTGATGTGTTTTTTTAAACATGAGTTTCAAATTCCATCCATCATAGCTCCTGGGATCATTCGGGCGCACAAACCCCTCCACCACATTAAGGTGGAGGTTCAAGGAGAGGAGGGGAGGTCCAAATCCATTTGACCAAAACGTTGACATTCTACTTAAATGACAATTGATAGTTGTAGCTATAAAATACTACAACTTAAATGTCAAACCAGAGCTACTGGTAATGGTGAAAACAACCTGCACAGACTCATGATATCTGCACTACTGTCCTAAAGTGACTTGAGACATGAGGGACCAGGACTGAACCAGGACTGAACCAGGACTGAACCGGGACTGAACCGGGACTGAACCGGACTGAACTGAACCGGGACTGAACCAGGACTAATTCAGGACTAAACCAGAACTCAACCAGGACTCAATGTCGGGATGGGCCCAGAGGTGAGAGACTGTCAGGTGACTGCAGGTGAAAGGACCGGCACAGAGCTCCCCGTCCATGGGGCGAAGTGCAGCCATGGCTCGATTATGCTTTGCAGACACCCTGCTCCACAAGTTCGGGGTTCTCCCTCTCTCTCTCTCAAGTCCAACATTAGTCCTGGTTTAGACCTGGTTTAAAACAACACTACAATAAACAAGACAGAAAATTAAACCAAAATCAAAGTATGCAAAATGAAAATGTTGCACACATTGCACACTGACTGATGATACAAGAAATGAAAAAGTGCCATGCTCCCTTCACTTCCATCCTTCATTTTCCTCTTCAGAAATATTCAATGCACCTTCTTCTTGAATATCGTCCATGACGACCTCGATCTGTGGCTCGGCACCAGCCTCATCCAAGTTGATCCAAAAACAGACTGATGGTTCTGTACAATAACTGTACATTCTATAGAGGAAATGTGCACTTTACATTTCCAGCACTTTTTTTTTTCTCGCATTTCTTTTTTTTCTCTATCAATCTGATTTTACTCAGTAAGGAGGGTGTGTTCCAATGTCATGAAGTAACATTTATTTCAAAAACTACTTAAAAAATTACAAATTATTCATAAAAAACTACTCAATTACAGTAATGGGAGGAAATGTAATTTGTTACTTTCCACCCTTGTCTGTGGGTATTTTTGCCCTTCAGCCTGTACAGTAGTAAAAGTGTAATGACATGAGCTACATTCAGATTACTCCCCTCCAATATCCATAATACACCAGGATTTTGACAAGATTTGACAATTCTAGCCTAATAAATGTCCATTAAATCACTTGGTCTCGGATGGAAGTGTAGGTTTGGTTTGGGTCCATGTTGTCCACACAGAGGCTCTGGTAAGTGCAGTCTGCACACTCCTTCACTGCAGCAAGACGCTCGTTTTCACACTATTCAAAACAACAAAGCAAATGAATGACATATTATAACTGGATATAGATTTGTAAAGACGGTGTATCACACTTGTGTGTGTGATTAACTGTAACACATCACAGATTTACATCACCAATATTAACTTTTAGTGTTCTGAAAATGCTATAATCGCCTAAAACTGTGTCACTCCCCCTTCAGAGCAGCATCACATTAGAGTCAGTGTACGTCCCACTGCCAGTGGTGGCTGGTGATGTAAACACAGGGAGTTTTTTTTTTTTTTTCCTCCATAAAAGGCAACTACTAATACTACAATATTCATGAGATATTATTGTAACAAGAAACACTCACTGAGGGAAGACCGAAAAAGAATCTGTGAAGGCCACAGTGTTTGTCACACATTCTGCAATAGCCCCATGGTGATCGGTTTATTTACATAACAGGGGACAGGTTATTATCAATACTTTTGGGACGTACTTTTGGATATACTTTTATTTTACTCCTAAAGGCTGAATGAGTCCATTTTGGACCAGCCGCCACTGATTTATTGTGCAATTTAGACATGTTTAGATTTTTGTTAAAGACACGTCACTGCACCATCAAGCAGGTAAACAAACTCCTGTCTGACTAAAAGAATCACTAATTCTTGTGCGTGTCCTTTGTCTGCAGGTTAAAACACTGACAACCTAGAACTAAAAGTGGAATAGCACAGGCTGCATACAGTTCCTTTAAGGCATGACGCCCACACTTTTTCAACATGCCAGCTACTTATAAAATGACCAAGTCAAAATGATCTACCTACTACAAAGCCAAGCAAACTGTGCTGCACTGAAACACTCTGTGTCCCTTTTGTGGACCCTCACCCACAGTTTGAGAACCCTTCTTTAATTTCCACTGGCACTTTCCACAAAACTGTGAAAAACGATGATGATTTTAAACCTGTTTTTCATGTTCCTGACTGGAGTTACATTCTTTTACTGGTTTTGCAGTGAGATTTAGCCTCTGCACATTTATCCAACCAAACACACACATCGTGACAAACACATTTGCATTTGTGCACTTTTATTATGTAAACTTCAACCACATGTCGCGGTAGGTCTGTTCTGTGCTGTAGATCTGCTTTGTGCCAACACTGTAACATAAATTTAGATTCGTTTTTGCTTCACATTTCATCCTGCTCTTCTAATCAGTGCATTGAGGAGGAGCCTGTGTGCGCTGTACACGGGCAAGCCGCACGCCAGGAGTGTGTGTGTTTGTGATGTGCCTCACAGTATCTATAGGCTCCAAATGAGCACACAGGCTGCAGAGAAACGCCCTGCACGCTCCTGCACACTGGTACTGGTATTTATTGCCGACAGCAGCGACCATAATGAAATATGATTGTTGAGTGTCAGATCTGGAGCGAGAGACAAGACCAAGTCCAAACACAATCAAGTCCAAGACGAGTACTACGACACTCTACCCACACTAAACTGGGGATCGACTGGTAGATCCGATTGACATATTCACTGCCCCTGCTGTGAGGCGTATTTCATTTTTATTTTAGAGAAAAAGTACTGCACATGGTTGGCAATCTCTGTATTGGCTCACCTCTGGAGTTTCACAGTCATCAGCAGCAGTTGGATCTTCTGTAAAATTTTCACAAGTGTAAAATGAACCAGATGGATAAAAAAGTGCATTGTTTCCATTGGAGTGTGGCTCACCTGTTGGTCTATTGGTTTTCCTTTTTCCAGCACCAAATCAAAATACTCCCTGATACAATAATCAGAATGGTGGTTACACTCACAGCAACATACTGCAGCACAACTGAAAGAGACGTGTTCAGAAGTGTCAGTGAAACTCAAATCATGCAGATGTAATTCTGAACATCATTTTTCAGAAGCTACCAGACAGTGTGGATGAGTTGTGCTCCTCCTGAGGTTGCTGTGAGCTCGTCACTTCAGATGCTTCTTGTGTCCTTTGTGTCGTCTGTGCTGGTGTCACATTATGGAGGGATGTGGTGGGAGCAGCTCCGAGGGTCAAACCTGGTGTTGGGGTTTCCACTGCAAAGAAAGATTAAAGGATTAAAGATTCAAGAATATCTATATCACATTACTGGCTGATGCAATAATCGATCTATACAATAACAGGGACAAAAAGACAGATTTGATTCATGATTTTCCTTGTGAGTGAGTGTGAACAGGTCAGCAGTATTTGGCTGCTGGAGTAGGATGGTACAGGTACATATATGGTGATGGCATCTGAACCAATCTGTGACGGCTGTGACATTTAAAAGCTCGGCCAGAGTGAGTGTGTCTGCAATCTTTGACTCATTACCATGTAGCCAAGAGGGCTGTGGGCTAAAAGGGAAAAAACTCTCCACAAATATCTGCATTCTCCTGCATTCAAAACACCATAGCTCCATTTCCATTTTCCTTTATACCCCATACTCACCCTCTGCTCTGGACTTCTGTGTTTTCCTCACAAAATGTGACACATGTAAGATTCTGCATCTATTTAAACAAATTATGAAGGGCAATACTTGACTTTGAAATTTCTGAAAGTGAAAGTGCTTTGAAAAAAAAAAAAAAAAAAAAGGTGCAGGGTCACATTTACTTGATTGTTTTTGCCAGGAATGTTTCATGGTATGGCATTAAACTTAATCTATTACTTTTCATTAATGCCAAAAACTACTTGGTTTGGTGGAGTTATCTGCTGGTCTCCATGGAGATAAGTTTTATACAGTTTTGTGAAACATAGCAGAAAAACGTTAAGACAAAGGTCTTAATGTGGTCTTGTTGTGAAGATAAATTAATAAATAAAAAAGGATTTTGGACCGTCCACTTAAAAACGGACACTACCAGGCAAAAGTCTGGACACTTCTCATTCATGTTTCTGCTTTATTTCCATCACTGAAGGCATCAAAACTATGAATGAACATTTATAGATTGTAGGAACAAAAATAAACTCTAACTAAATCGAAACTTGTTTTGAAAACAGACACCCTTTGCTTTTATCACAGCTTTTGACAATTGGTGTTCCTTGACCCTGACCCTGGTTCACCTGTGAAGTAAAAAACATTTCAAGTAACTTTATTTCTCTGTTACTGGGAAAAGGCCAAGAGTTTGCAGCTCTGTCAACAAAGCAAAGGGTGGTTACTTTGAGGAATTTGAATATAAAATATATACAAATATTTAGTTGAGTTATTTCACTTTTGTTTCTTTGTTTGATAATTCCATACATTTTGCATCATACATTTGAAGTCTTCTGTATGAATCTATAATGTAGAAAGTGATAAACATGAAGAAAAAGACAATGAAGGAGACGGTGTGTGTGTCCAGTTTCTACTGGTCGTGTCCAAAGTGCAGAGTTTAAAATGAACAATCGTCTGGTGATGTCAAATGTGGAAATAACTTACCACTGATGACTTTTAATATAAATGTTGCAATCTTTCCATGTTCCAGACCACATGTGTATGACCCAGCATCAGATCTTCTCACATTTGTGATGATCACATATAATTGTAGTACATTGCGTGTGAGATCCTTTGATAACTTCAATGCCGTATCTTCCATTCTGCAGTCGGTTGTTTGCAGTCTCAACCAAAGTGTCTTCTTTCCCTTTACAGTCATTTTGACAGAAGATTTTTTTGTTTTCATTGAAATAAAGTAAACATTGGGCTGTAAAATTGTGTCCTTCTGTTGCTTCAATCACTTTAGTCTCTGTTTTGCTGAATAATAGTCTTCCATGGCACAACACTGTTGAACACAAGAATGAAAAGTCATTTTGTACAGAAATACATAAAAATACTGGAATAGAGACAATGAGATGGACAATGGAACATGATGCAAACTCAACAGACACATTAGAATTACACTGGCAGTTAAAAGTTTGGACACACCATCTTTCTACATTTTATATAGACATCAAATATACAATGCAAGATGTGTGAATTATGAATCAAAGAAGAAAAAGGTAAATCACTCAATATATATATATTTTAATATATATATTTTACATTTATTTTTTGTTTACTTCATTCCATATGTTTTCATTCATAGTTTTGGAGAGAAAATCTACAATGCAAATATTCATAGCAATAAAAACGAAACATAAACTTCATAAATGCATAAATATGTCCAAGTGTGTTTCTGTATTTTTCATTCTTGAATTTGTTCCTTTTCTGAATATTATGTAAGTGACATTGTTTAGATCATTCTGAACATTCTACATGAATATGCACGATTGCAATGGAACATATAAGAAGGACACATTTATATTTGAACATTCTGATAACATTCTGATGTATTCTGGTGCATTATAAAGAGTCCAAAAGCCAAGTACTCACCAACAAACAGCATCAATAGTGAACACATGTTCATGTTCAACTGATGTCCTTGACACTTTTGGGTTCTGACTGACTGCGAACACTTTTCAGCTGCACAAAAGTCACACATATATCATTTCCTTCCTTTCTCAGGTGCCACTTGTCACGCCTCTCTCATATCTCAGGCTGAAAAAAACAAACAAACATTTATTTATTTTTCAAACAGGCACAGTAATAGGAGGAAAATGTTCTCTCATACACATATGTGATTTATTAATATTAAAATGATTTATTCTTACACTAAAAGTCCAACCTCTCCTCCTCTCCTGACCCTGTGTGTGTGTGTGTGTGTGTGTGTGTGTGTGTGTGTGTGTGTGTGTGTGTGTGTGTGTGTGTGTGTGTGTGTGTGTGTGTGTGTGTGTGCGTGTGTGTGTGTGTGTGTGTGTGTGTGTGTGTGTGTGTGTGTGTGTGTGTATGTGTGAGTGTGTGTGTGTGTGTGTGTGTGTGTGTGTATGTGTGTGTGTGTGTGTGTGTGTGTGTGTGTGTGTGCGTGTGTGTGTGAATGTGTGTGTGTGTGTGATGTGTGTGCGTGTGTGTGTGTATGTGTGTGTGTGTGTGTGTGTGTATATGTGTGTGTGAGTGTGTGTGTGAGAGGAGCCGCTCCAGAGAGAGAGAGAGAGAGAGAGAGAGCCGCTCCAGAGAGAGAGAGCCGAGAGAGAGAGAGCCGCTCTCCATAGACTTCCTGTTTGAAGCACTGTTGGAGCAGGCTACACACTTTAGGTTTTCTGTGTTGTTGCTCACTTCTCAGAGACCACCACATCATGTTTTCTTAGATTTGTATTAGTCAAATAATAATTTCTGTGTACAATAGAGTGTAAAAAGTACAACATTGTCGCTAGGTAATGGTTTTACCTTGGAATTATTACGTGATCTCATTTCCAGTTAGAAATGATAGAAATTTCGCATTGGGGGAAAAAAGTATGAGTTGAAGCTGAGATCAACAATAGACACAGAAACTGAAACTAAATAATAAATAAGTTGGTTAGAGTGTGTTTTATTTATGTGCTAACTTAAACAAAAAATATAGAAATAATCAAATGAACTACAAATAAATTACAGTGAGAAAATGTCAGCTTGCTTAACATTTCCTTTAATGACTTTAGGGTCCTTAAGGGTTCTGCCCACAGAGCCAAACTCTTTTTTTGTTTTAATTGTTGTTACACACACTGTGTCAGATAGTTGAGATGTAACATGTGGTCCTTTATCGGCCACATTACAAAAGTCTAAATGTTGTTGTTCATTGTCTGGATGGTCGCTGTATAGTGCTCCACATTTTCCCTCTCTTTCTCTCCATCACAGATTTGATTATATTATTGTATGAAAAGTCATTTTGTGCAGAAATTATATATATTATATTTATATTATTATGTATATTATATCTTTAAATTTAAATTCCACAGTATTGGTAGTTTGTTTATCCAAAAAACACGACCTGATCAGTTCTGTAAGAGTGACTACAGTCACTAGACCAAAAACTCAGTGTATTACAACAACATCCAAATTGTAAATCTGCAATTTCAAAGGCCCATGCAGTATTAGACTGTTTTCTGTTCCATTCTGTTTTCTCATCACAAACACACCTGGAGTTTTGTTTCAGTCACACATGTTTAACACACAAACCTGCAGATTTAGGCTGAGTTCTTCTCACAAACAGAAAATACTCTATAATACAGGAAGTGCTCCACTGTATTTTTTAAACTCCATACACCTTCACTAGAATCATTTGGAAAATTTCAACTCTGGAATTTTCAGTCTACACTGAACTAAAGGTAGAAGGTAACTGTTAACTGGAAAACTACTGCTTCACAAAGTGTGTAACTCAAACATGTGTGAATGAAACAAAACTCCAGGTCTGTTTGTGATGACAAAACTACATTAGAACATGGAACACAATTCTAAAATTCCTAAACGCTCACAAGAATCAATTTTGAGGAACATAAGACCTTTAACAGTTTTCATTTTAGTCATCTGTATTAAATAATGTTGGTCTATAGACTGTTGTAATGTCATCTGAAGCCCAGCAATGATTATATATATAATATAACACATATTTATCTCCATGGAGAATGTTTGGCTTTAACTTCTCTGGAACCGTTCAGGTGATGTAAAAATAATAATAAAAACTTACCAGGGGAGACCTCAATTTGAAATTGCACCATGGTTGAGTTTTTCTGCCCATAATCCAGACCACACTGGTACAGTCGTGCGTCTGATCTGTGCACATCTGTAATGTTCACAGACATATGCAAAAACCCTGATTGATGTTTCTCTTCAATACTGTATCTGCTGTTCTGCTGACGGGAGCCTGCAGTCTGAACCAGAATGTTTTCTTTTTTGTCACAATCAGCTTTACAAAAG